AGAACTCTGGCACTATATGTCAGTTTAGGAATAATTTTTTTAAATCTTTTAATCCATAGCTTACTTTTGTACTTTTTTAATATCTGCAATTTTTATTTACTTTTAACAATTTAATGTTATTTTGGATTAGGACCTCTCTGTAGATCACCTACGGGTGAGAGAGCTACTTGTTTAAATATCATTATATAAAAGCCGAACTGTCAAATTAAAGCTCGTCTATTCAACTGACATAATGAGGTGTTAATTTAGAATTATAATTAGCTGTCTCAAAAACACAACCGTTAGACGAAAGCGTAAAGCGGAACTGTCAAATTCAAGCTCGTCTATTTAACTGACAGAGTGAGATTATTTAGAATTATAATTAGCTGTCAGAAAAACACAACAGAGGGATGAAATATCTTCCAATCATTAATTAAAGTGTTGGTTAATTAACATCTTTGTCAATTGGCTACCATCTTTTAGGCCTGGTAAACAACATCAGGATGGACTTTCACACAAGCGCTAGTTTGACTCTTATCCTCTTGTAACAGTAAAAAGAGTTTTATTGAAGAAAGTTTGGTTTGTTTATTACACATGACGTGATCACATTGCGTGTTGACCAACAGACTTTCTAAAAGTACAGACTTTCCATATTCTTGCGTTTTGAATATAAACTCAGTGTTTCGTCTCGGCTAAGAGACTTATGCCGCTCACTAAACACCTTTTAGGATAGTCCACACAACAATCTTAATGGTCTGTAATGGCTTGTAATCCCTTACAATATTTGCAATAATATTCCGCAGCCATCATAATCTTTGTCTTCCACGAAACAGGTATACATCTCAAGAGATAAAATTATCAGTAAAATGTAGCATTCTCCAATTCATTTTATAACTTTCGATTCTAATTCGTTGCATTACCTAGTGGTTGGTTTCAATTTTTATAACCGCGAAAGAGGGAAAAAAATAAGCTATACATCAAGCCGGATATTTGTCTATTTGGTTTTGATGGTCGCACGGAAATGTCAATTATGTCCCTCAAGAATGTTGTGGTGCATAACAACATTAAATCTTTAATGATGGAAACAAATTTTAAGAAAGAGCGCCAGTTCATTGTGTTCCGTGTGCAAATTATTAGAAGAAACCGCAAGAATTATTTCAGAGTGTATGTGTGTTGTTTTGTAAATAACACCGAAACGTATTTCAGCTTGTTTGTGTGTCCCTGTAAGCTACGCGGAATGTCTGTAAGGACCAGATTGTCAAATTTTATATTTCAATTTCGATCTTCTCCACACTGTGCGTGGTTCATGGCCTGATTCAACGATAATTATCGAGGAGTCGCCATCCGGTCAACTTTTTTTACTTTGTAAGTCAAGGAAGCGTAACCACACGGATCATATTTATGCAACGTTTTAGGACAACTTGGGATCTATTTTCCATCCAGTTGTCTCGAAAACCTAAAATCCTCAACGTAGAAGATGAACAAACGAAGTTTAAACGATCAAAATAATATTTCGAGCGCAATTGAGCAAACGCGCGGATTTGCGTTGTTTTCAAGATGTCGATGGATGAAAGTTAGAGAGATACCCACGGTTTTAACCCTTTAAGTCTCAGATCAAATTTGAAATTCTCCTTACTGTCAACCATACAATTCTTATAAAGTTAGTTCAGAGAATTTAGTATTTTCCAAATTTTGGGAGAAAAAATGACATTAATTGTGCAACGCAAAGAGAAAGTGCTTTTTAGAGAAGCGTTTGCAGCAACGACTGAAAAGATATGATAACGATCAAATTCGCATTTAAGAAAAAGGTCTGTTATTTATTAACTTCTGTAATATGCATTACCCTTGAATTTTCTAGGAAGAGTTATTTTTGAACATATAACGGAACAAAGTCATTATAAATTATAACAGATGCATTTAGCTACTCGCTAACAGTGCTCCATTGACTCGATCATCAGAAAAGAACAATGCAGACCATCGAGTAACAGACGTAAGACAAGGTCTGTTTTCTATAGATGAGTTCCGTTATCTGAATGTGCCTCGAGTTGGAATATTTTCAGTGCACGACGACTTGGAGTGTACCATGAGATGCCTTCAACATCCTTCCTGTATTTCTGTGAACTTGGCTTTCGAAATAAGACTATGGTGCGAGTTACTGTCATCTGACAAGTACAGAAACCCCAGGGAATTCAGAAGAAACGAAAGCTCACATCACTATCACATCGTGGTAAGGACTCTCCTCTGTGTTTTTTGATATTTCGAGGCAGCCTTTTCAAGGAAACACCGTCTATAATGTATTGCAGCCATAATTGAGAAGGCGTCATCCAAGATAAATGATCAGTAACTTCTCTTGGGCATAAAATAATTATCCTGGCCTTCTTCTAACGTTTGTCTTCCTTAAAGGCTAAACGAGATATGCTTTTTCCGATTATCATTTCACTCGTTCCCTTTTTATTTTGTATAGTTATCTATTCACTCATTCTATTTGTTCATCCCCTCATATTCTTAGATGTATCAACCGTGACCTGCCTCCACAGAAAAACAATATTTGAATTGAATGGCTCTTGTATAAGTTTCTCTTAAGTGAATATAGCAGAGCCAGTTCAGGTGAGACTTTTCAACAAACTTGCATAATACGCTGTTTGGGCTAAGTGGTGTTATATTGAGCGTGAAGGTTCTTTTTTTCTTTCGCAAGAACATGTGTGCTGAAAATCCTTGCGAGAACAACGCCACTTTTCGAAGCAGTTTTACAGACAAACCTTATCGGTGTCTATGTCCTGCTGGATACAAAGGTCCGAGGTGCCAAATAGGTAAACCAAAAATCCTCTATGTCTTTCAAGTGAGATGTTCAATTCAATTATTGAGAAGCATAAAGTCGTATACTTATTGCATAAACATGTTTCATATACATCGTCATTTCTAAGCAACAGAAAAGACAACGAAAGAGAGAGTGAAAGAGAGAGAGACACATACAGGAAAGTAAACTGACATAAAAAAGAGCAGAATGATTAACTATTCTCCAAAAAAAAGTGCATTACATACTTGGAGAGCCATCAGTTAGTTAGCAACTTCAAGCAAGACTGGAAATAATTATTATCAATGATGACGGGACGCTCTACCGACGTCTCTTCTTTTCAAGGATTCGAAGTAACACGCATGCTACCCAAGAAAGTCTTTTAAAAAAGAAAATGTTTCAATCCAGCCAGGAAGCTGAATTATAATAATGCTAAAAACAACAACAACAGCAATGGGGAGACAATATAATTTTATAATCCTAATAAAGTTATTTTAAAACTTTTTCTAGGACCTACTTCGTGCAAAGAAATTCATGATCAGGACACGTAAGTAGAGTTGATATTCGGATGTCATTTATGTAGTACATCAAATATTCCGCTTTCCCGCAATTGGTTTAAGCCCATCACGTCACCAAATATACCCTAATTTTCAAACCACCATGCAAAGAAAGTCCTCCGTTTAAATTCGATTCACTTGGTTGAGTGTCTTCCCGTCCTTACAGAAGAAGTGAAAAATAATAAGCTCCCAGACACCTGTTTAATTCCAGGACAAATAACCGAACATTGTTGCTATGAAGGCTGTGGTTTATATCCCGCAGAAATTGACGCCTCTTCCTGAAGGATTAAGTTTTCATTTGCTCATGTGTTCAATCATTATCATTATCAGTCGGTATCTATGCCAATGTGATTTTCATTGCCACTAATGATAATTATCTTTATAAGCTCTAGTTTTATTTCACCGTCATAATTTACTTAAATGCTTTGGTTCTTTATAATATTTTGATTAAAAAGATCCAGTATGAGTGGTGTGGTTACCCTTGTTGTTGACTCCCAACCATTGTCCGTTTTTTGTCATATGGGAAATTTTGGGTGTGGAGACGGAGGATGGACGCCAGTCATGAAGATTGACGGCAGAGAGGTGCATACTTTTATTGAATAATTCATTTCCTGTATAAACCCGCTCTCTTGCGAAACGTTGCAAGTTAAAAACGCGCCTTCTATATATGAATGCCTTTTTTTTCATCCAGACGGTAATGGACGAAGACCTGACTTTGTTCAACGTAAATTTCGAGACTTATTGTGTGCAATGATTGAAGAAAAAGAAAAGTTAAAAATCAGCCATAAGTATAAATTCGTTTAAAGGCTGTTTGGAACAAGGGCAATCTCTTATCTGAGTTAAATTTTCAAACTATTTGAGGGTTATGTAGATATCAACCTGATTTAAATAGCAGTCATTGTTCATCGTTTGAACAGCAGGGGGGACGTGGATAGGTAGAGGAGGATTGCTGGAGGACCATAGAACATTGAGTACCAATAAACTTGCCAATGAGGAGGGATCATGGATCATAGGAATATTACAGAGACTTACGTGAGAGGAGTGGGGATCAGGTTACTTTTATCGTGACACAATCACACTCCAATTTTGTCTATGTACAAAGAGATCAGAATTTCTTTAAAGAAAAACGACGTCTGTCATCCTTTATCATTTCAAAGACTCTTGATTGGGGTGCAAATGAAAACACAGAAAAACTCCCTATAACTAGATTGACATGTCATACACTGATCTAAGGTGCCAGGTCTGTGTTGAAAACAAAAATTACCTTAGCATTGACGACACGATGTCAAAAATATCGAGGTCAATTCTATGATAAAACAAATGAGTCAGGTAGTAAATCAATAAATACAGAAACTCGACAGGAAGTAGACAGGGAAAATCCATCAATTCAGAGAAATACACAAGTGTTATGCTCCTGTATTTCAGACCACCTTCCATTATGAGGCGCATTATTGGACAAATTACGATGAATTCAACCTTCTCGGTGGAGAGACTGGGTTTGACGAGCAAGAATCAAAGCTACCCACCTACTGGAACACATCATTCTCCAAGATCTGTCTCGGAATGAAGATCAACCAACAGCTCAGGTTTATTGTCATCAGTAAGTTGGCTGACTCTCTGCACTCACTAATTGCTGATGGCCAATACCGCAACACCTCACTGGGTCGTGACGGGTGGAAAAAGTTGATTGGCAGCAACGCCTCTTTACAGCGCAACTGTAACAAGGAAGGATTCAATGCTGTTGGTGATCGTGATCTTGCTAAAGTCAGAATTGGTATTGTTAGCAATAACCAAAACGACTGCTACTCGTGCAACTCTTTGATTGGATTTGGTACAGGAAGTCATCCAAAAGGCGCAAAATCTTGCGGAAACGAGGCACTCCATGATAAGTTAGATGATGGAGGGAATAGTATCAAAGCCATGGGGTACATATTGGTGCAATAAAACCAAATGCTGAGGACTAAGTCCGTAAATAACGTTTGTTTCACCTTGGGGACGTCTTATTGCGACAAAACATTTTGGGCAACGGTCGTCAAAAAGCTCTAAATATACAGTAACTACTCATTTACATTACTTAAAAGATATGTGGATATCCCTAAATACTAAATTTCTTAGACTTCAGCTTACAAGCATATACAAGATGATTTCATCTAAAAAATTAGTGACCTTAACTTCAAGAAACAAAGTTGTAGAATATTTCCGAAAGAAAATGAATATTCGACAATGAATGGTGATTAATTGCCACTTGACTTTTATACAACATAAACAGCAGTGTTTGGTCTCCCAAAACTTCATTGTTTTAAAATAGAAATAACTAAAGCTATTCGAAGATTCATCGACATCGATCGATCATCGAGCTTAGAATCTCTTACAGTTACAGCGTCTTGCCATTAGAGCATGGAACTGTTAAATGCCACGTCTTTGAGTGCTGAACTGATTCATCTTACGTACTTTTTTTGCTGGTGAAATAGTGGCAAACCTGAAATGGACTCTGATTCTATCGGTTACAGGTTGATGTTTTAGCTAATGCAGTGCCTGTTTTTGCTTACTTTGTTGAAAATAGTTAAAACTTAAACTACTACAGGTTTTTAAACCTCAATTACTTCTTTGCTAATCATTCTATTCAAGATGTCTTGTTTAACTCTCCATGATTGAGTGAGATTGGTTCAACACAGTAGTGTCACCTAACTTAGGGTTGTGTTGTAAGCTGAGAATATTATAGTTAATTCCTAGTTTCATTAGACTTTATTGTCGCTGTAGTTTGTGTCCAATCTTTAAAGTATGCCACGGGAAGTTCAATTTCTAATCGTACCTTGTGGGTATCAGAGCCATCGAAATGTCTCCGGCCAAAAATATTTGTAGTAGCATTAACACATCAAAATTCTCACTGAAAAGTGTTTGCCACGGCGGCAAACAATTGAAAGACAAAATAATTATCACTGTACAAACATATTTATTCAAGCAAAAAATATTTTTACTAGTACAAAAATATTTCTCTTAGTGCACAAAAAGCAGATTACGTTCTGAGTCAGCGATATTGTGAGACTGATTGGGAATTTTAAATATGTATACAGTGTAAACAATGTCAAGGCCAGACCGCAAGACCGGAAGCAACATTCCCTACTCTAAGTGAGAAGTGTGTTGGTTCTTTAACGTCCCTGTTAACCATTTCAGAGAAGAGAAAAGAGGAGGGGCCTACGGCTTATCTTCCTTCCCCGAGAAGACTAGAATGTTTTATAAGCAACCATTGTCAAAGTAAAGACAGCAAATTCTCCTCAATTATTTTACGACCCTGAGTGTTTGCCCGGTCTGGAGTTCGACGCTCTACAACGCGAGTTAGCAAGGCGCGAATCGTCAAAATTTCGAAAGTGGATTCCATTTCCCTCGTTATAATCAACTTCCTTTTTGTTTTCCTAATAATTTGTCACCTCCTGTGTTGAACTTGATATTCCGTAAAATGTTGCTGGAGATTGAGAAGAATGTATTTGTGGCCTACAAGAAGCTTCTAGGACCAAACTACCCAGTGTTAGTATGGTAATTCGACAAGTTTAATTAATTCAGGCGTTTTGCACAATGTCATGCAGAAATGGAATTCCATAATGCAATACCTTTACCCGATAATAGTATACACGAAAAAAAAAATTCAATTCGTGTTCCTCAAGAAAAATGCACTTTTAAGGAAACACGAGGCAGAAAAAAAGGAAATCTAGTTCAGAAGAAGGGTATTTCAGCTATAGATTGTGTGTCCTCAACTGTCCCAAATAAGTCATCGAAGCTCTACCGTAATCATGATTTCTACCACACACCTCAACCGTCGCCAATAACACTGCTCTTTGAATTGTTTGACTCGAAGCTCTTTCTGAAATTTTTTCAAGTAAACTGAGTCTAAATGGCGGGATTCAAATGAAGGGCTAGCCTAAGTTTTTAAAAATTCGATCGTGACGCCACGTTTCATGAAGTCATGGTATAGACAAACTGTCTATGGCTCGGATTGTTTTAAGGTTGCACCTTTAGGTACAATTTTTCCACTTACAGAAAATGAGTTTTCTTTTTTGACCGATTAATGGGCATAAATATCATAAACAAAATATCGGGATTAAAATGTGGCGCTAGCCTAGTTTTTAAAAATTGGACTGTGATGCGAATAGACCTTTACACGAGCGTTAGTTCGACTGTTATCCTCTCGTAACAGTGGATAGAGTTTTAGTGAAGGAATTTGGGTTTGTTTATTATACATGACGTGATCACGTGACATGTTGACCAACATAATTTCTCAAACTAGGCTTCCATATTCTAGTGTTTTGTATATATACTAAGCGTTTCGTGTCTTCTAAGAGACTCAGCCCAGTCACTAGTATCTTTTAAAGTTAGTCATAAAGTCGTTAAACGGTAAACAATGCGCTCGAAGTCCCTTTCTGACAATTTATTGTAAGGCTGCGACTTATACGTCATTCGGTAAAAAAGAAAACCACATAAATCTTATTTTTTAATAATCCTTATTTTTAATTAAAAAAATATATATCTATGATAACGTTTATGTATACGCCCATAAGATAAAATTCACATGCAATAAAAAGGTCTAGTATTTGGTAACTCCTTAAAAACTTGTTACCTTAGAATTTTTAGGGCATAGAGATATGATTGAATGTATAACAGAAAAGGATCATTTCCTAAAGTATAAAAAGCTTATCCAATTTATTAAACCCAAGAATGGTACGGAAGAAGGACGAGTTCGTCGCGTGGAAATAGAAGTTTACTGGTTGTAAAGATCTCTCAGTTGTTGACATGTCAAAGTGTTACTGGCACCAAAAGCTCACAGAAGAATCTCTATTTCTATGAGTGTTCAATTCACTTTTTGGTCGATATTTATTTAAAAGAATGCCATTTGGTATTTCATGTGCAAGTGAAGTGGCCCAGAAAATGGTCGAGAAACATTTTGGTAATATTTCAGGGGCATTACATATTTTAGATGATATTATCATTGGAGGTAAAGAAGAACAAGAACATGATTTAATACCATGCAAGGTCTTGACTAGAGCACGAGAGCGCAGTATCAAATTCAACCGTGACAAAATCTAATTTCGAGTAAGCCAAGTCAAGCACGTGGGCGAAGTGGTTAGTGAATTGGGATTTTCACCAGGCCCAGAAAAAATTCTGCTATTCACAACATCCCACCCCATCATGCAAAAAAGACCCTCAAAGGTTATTGGGTATGATCAACTATCTCACTAAATACATCCCAAACATGTCTAAATTGACTGCTCCGCTGCGATCCTTGCTTAAGTGAGATGAACCATGGGCTTGGTTTTTAGAGCACGATACCGCTCTTTCTATACTCAAATCAGTTCTCAGTAGTGCTCTAGTTCTACGATTCTATGACACAAATTTACCAACCAAGCTCCAAGTTGATGCCGGTAAAATTGGCTTAGGAGCATGTTTCATGCAACAGAACCAACCAGTTGCATATGCATCACGTGCCATGTCAAATCCAGAGGTCAATTATGCTCATATGGAAAAGGAGCTCTTAGCTATTGTTTTTGGCTGTGAGAGATTTAACATTTACACATATGGAACAGAAATTGAAGTGCTGTCAGATCACAAGCCCCTAGAAAGCATCTTTAAAAAGCCTCTTTTCAAGGTACCTCCTAAATTGAGACTTCGTTTACGAAAATATTATCTCAAAGTGAAATATGTTCTAGGGAAATTTCTTAAAATTGCTGATACCTTCTTTAAGACATTCGATCAGACCAGTGATCCAACTGGCAATGATATGCATCATGATACCATAATGTTGCTACCAATCTCCCAATCTCGGATGATAACTTAATGGAATTACGAGAACTTAACCGCACTGATCCCACTATGAAAATGTTATTCAGATGTGCCACGAAGAGCTGGCCGGAACACAAGCGTGATGTACCCTCTCCTCTAAAATCTTTCTGGGATGTGCCGAATGACATTCATGTTACATATGGAATTTTACTCAAGGATATCAGGTTAATTATTCCATCAGTATGGAGAAACGATATACTCCAGAAATTACATATTAGCCACTGTGCCAGTGAAAAAACCAAAGCTAATGCCTGCATGACAGTATTGTGGCCTGGCACGACTAAGCATATCGAAGAGATGGTTGCCAGTTGTGAAAAATGTATGAAATTTCAGATTAAGCTACCCAAAGAGCCATGCAAACTCGAGAAATACCATTATCGCCCTGGTAAATAATTGCTTCGGATGTGTTAGAGAACAAAAATCAAGACTACCTTGTGGTCATTGATTATTATTCAAAGTATATCGAGGCTCTCAAGCTTAGCAGCAAAAAAAGTTATGATGTCATTCGGAGTCGGAGTGAAATTTTCTCAAGACGTGGATATGCACAAACTTTAATTGCGGATAACGTGCCTTACAACTCCAGAGAAATGAGGTAATATGCTACACAATACGGCATTGGCATCATAACAACTAGTCCTACATATAGCCAGGCAAATGATAGTGCAGAGAAGACACTTCATATTAAAAACTTACTGAGAAATTAGTGCAATTTGAGAGGAGGTCTTATGGAGTATCGGAACACACTCATAAGTAATTTTCCATACTCACCTAACCAAATGTCGTTTGGTCGGCAAATTCGTACAAGGGTTCCTGTTCACCCTGTGATGTTAGTGCCACAAATTTGCCATGATACTCCTGTATTACTAGAAAGACGTCAAACTAAAAACAAAGATTTCTATGATCGCCAAGGCTCCAAAAAGCTATTAAAACCCAAGGAAGTGGATAGTGTAGGGTTCAAGAAACAAGGTGACAAACATTCATCACCTGCTGTATTTCAGGGTTAATAATACACATGGAAAAATTACTCAGTTCTGATTGGTTAAGATAAATGCAGTTTTCAGGTAATTCAGTGCAGAAGAGAGTTAATTGAGTGCAGAAGAGGGTTAATTCAGTGCAAAGAAATAAACAAATCAGACAGTCTGATTGGTCAATAATCAAAGAAACTCACATATAGCCAATCAAATGCGAGCCTTGGATGTCG